TACTCAGCATCATTCTCTTTAGGAAAATGTGAACTAAAACCACAATTAGATCCCACCAAACACCTGTTAAAATGGAACGCATGCCCGCATACACACTCTCACAAATGCCAAGTGCCGAGAAGGCAGTGGGGATACAGAACAAGGACTTGGAAAATAGTTTGACAGTTTCTTATAAAGTTGAACATGGTTAAGAGTGGGGCTCAGTAGTACAGGGCTTGCCTACAATGTGCGAGACCCTGGTACCAAAAACCAAAAAAAAAAAAAAAAAAAATCAAATAATATAATAACCAAATCCTGGTGATGCTGCAGCGGGGGTGGGGGTCATCTACATTGTGGGTGGGAATATAAACTAGCACAACCACTATGGAGATCATCATGGAGATTGCCCAAAGAACTAAAACTAGAAATACCATTCATCCCAGCTATACCTTTTCTAGGTATCTTCCTAAAACACTTAAAGATATTACACTGATACATGCACACTCATGTTTATAGCAGCACAATTCATAATAGCTAAATCTTGGAAGCAGCCCATATATCCATCAATAGATGACTGAAGAAAATGTGGTATTGAGCCAGGAATTTAGCTCAGTAGTTCTGTTGCCTGCCTTGCAAGGATCAAGGTCCTGAGTTTAATCCCCAGTACCAAAAAAAATAAAAAGCTCTGTTTCCATTTAGGGCTGGGGATTTAGCTCAGTGGTTCGGTCTCCTGCCTTGCAAGTGCAAGGGCCCGAGTTCAAGCCCCAGTACCCCCACCAAAAAAAAGAAAAAGAAAATGTGGTATTTATACATAATGGAGTACTACTCTGCCATAAAGAGGGATAAATTTCAGTCATTTACAGGAAAATGGATGCACCTTGAGACCATAATGTTGAGTGAAATAAATCAGACACACAAGCTTAAATATCTTTTACGTGAGAAGTCCAAAATATAAATAAAGAGCAAAATAAAGCTAGATAATAGGAAATAGGGAGATCCTTTGCAAAAGGGAAGGGACCGAGAGATGAAGGGATTGGGAAAGACGTGGGGGAAGGGGAGGAAAAAGAATTGAGATGTGTTCTATACATGGAACAATCGCCCATGATGGATGTGATCATCATGAACTGCCATGGAATAAAAAGATAAATTTTTTTTTAAAAAAACAGAAAAGTACACAAACCATAAGTATGCCATTTAATAAATCACTGCAGGGCCAGGGATGTAGTTCAGTGGTACCATGCCTGCCTTGAAAGCACAAGGTCGATCCCTGTACCAAAAATAAATAATAAAAGTGCTACAAAAATAAATAAAATATATTTATTTATAAATATAAAATAAAGCACTACGAAACACACTCATGTAAGGATGACCCAAATCATAAATGCAGTGCTACTTGCCGTTAAAAGTCCCTTCCTAGGGGCCAGGGATTTAGCTCAGTGGTGCCACACCTGCCTTGCAAGTGCAAGTTCCTGAGTTTGATCCCTGGCACCAAAGGAAAAGGAAAAAGTAAGTCCCTTTCTGATACTCCCCAAATTGCTGTCTACCTTTCCTTCTCAGAGATAACCAATTACTATTCTGACTTTAATACCACGGATTTCATTTCAATTGTTTTTGAACTTTATTACTATATCTAATCACAGTATGCTTGTTTGTGCCTGGCTGCTTCTGCTCAATACTATGCTTGTGACGTCAAGTATGGAGGCATATGCCTGTAATCTTTGCATTCAGGAAGCTGAGACAGGACTGAGAGTTCGAGGCTGGTCGGGCTCTACACAGGGAGATTCATCCAAATTGTTGAGTGTGACAGGAATTTATCCATTTTCAGCGCCTCAGAGTATTTCTTTATGATTATGCCATCATTTAGGTATATCTCCCAGAGAACACTGCTTCTAGCTTGAGGCTATCATGATATGGCAGCCATGAACAGAAATACAGTTTGTACTTAGGAACTGCTAGGTCAAATGGTATGCAAATGTTGAACTTTATAGATAAACAGTCATCACTTCTTCAAATTGGTTTTACCCCTTCACACTACCAGCTACAGGAGTACACTATGGGAGTACAGGTGCTATCCTCACCACATACCCTCAAGACTCCAGTTCAGTGTTCAATCTACCTCACAAAATGCAACATGTCCAAAGCTGAACTGGCTCCTCCCAACCACCAACACAAAAAATGCTCCGCTGACAGGCTCCAGTCAACAACAGCCACATCTTTGTAGTTGCTCAAGCCAAAATGAGTCATCCCTGACTTCTCATCACCCCATCTGTACTCTTCCAAAAGTTATTTGTTCTGTTTATAAGCTTACAATTTATCACCACTATAATCCTGATCCAAGCCACCACCAATCTATCATCTGAACTACTCCAATAACCTCCAAAGTGGTCTCTGCTTCCTTACTTGCCCCTACAATTTACTGTCTTTTTGTTTTTTTGGGTGTGTGTGTGTGTGTGTGTGTGTGTGTGTGTGTGCGCGTGCGTGTTTTGAGACAGGGTCTCACTATGTAGTTGAGACTGACCTGGAACTCACTGTGTAGCCCAGGCTGGTCTCGAACTCATAGCGATCCTCCTGCCTCAGCCTCCCAAGTGCTGGGATTACAGGAGTGCATCACTATGTCTGGTCCCTACATTTACTCTCAATGGAGCAGCTATGTCATATCATATTGCCTCACTTTTCTACTCAGTCTAGAATGACTCCACCTTCACTGTAAGCTAAAGCCGAAATTTTAAGAGCAGGGGGATGGGATGTAATTTAGTGACACCGCACTTGCCTGGCAAGCACAAGATCATGAGTTAGATCCAGGTACGGGGGCGGGGGGGGGCCTGCAATCTGTTTGGGGTTTTTTGTTTTTTATTTGAGAAAGGGTCTCACTATGTAGTTGACACTGACCTGGAACTCACTATGTAGACCAGGATGGACTCAAACTCACAGTGATCCTCCTGCTTCAGCCTCCCAAGTGCTGGGACTACAGGCATGCGCCACCACGCCCAGCTGAAGCTGCAATCTTTAGGACTTGCCAACTCTCATTTTTCTGCCCTGTCCCTGGCCCTGACCTAACTTCCTTCCCCTGTCAGCCATTGACCTTGCAGCATTCTTTGAGCAGACCAGGCCCTCTCTGGCTTTGGAGTCTTCACTTTAGCTTGGCCCTCCACATGAGACACACCTCCTTAGACATCAATGTGTAAAATGGCTTCACTCCGGGCTGGGGATTTAGCTCAGTAGTTTGGTGACCTGCCTTGCAAGTGCAAGGACCAGAGTTCAATCCCTGGTACCAAACAAAAAAAAAAAAACTTGGAAATATGTGAATCTGTACTACTCACCATATGAGAACTGCCCTTAATATTAATTATGAGTTTTTATGTTCAGGGATCATTTTCATCTTCAGAATTAAGGATTATTTTAATCTTACATCATTGCCTTTTCTCTTTTACTTTCCTTTTTAGTTTTATTTTAGGATTCCCTATTTTTAATGTTCATCCAAAGATTTCTTTAACTGAAATACCAAATAGTTTCTCTGATGTGAAAAACTATAATGCACACAGGATCCTAATGATATAATGGACAATGTGAAATAGGAAGTAAAGGGCTAAAGGTGTAGGGAAAGTGGGAAGGGTAGGGGAAAGGTAATAAGGGAGAGGAAAAAATATGAGAAATTGAAAAAATGGAAATAAAGTGTTTGTAAATGGGGAGGGGAGGAGGGGGTGAAGGGAGAGTAGGGACAAGGGAAAAAAATGAGAATCAAGACCTATCATGTAAAGGTACAGGATTCCAATAATGAATGTAACTGTATTGTATACCTAAATTGTACCAATAAACTCAATAAAAAGAAAAATAAATAAATGGCTTCACTCCTTCAAATGTTGACTCAACCAGGACATGATCTTGCATGCCTCAATCCCAGCTACATGGGAGGCTGAGGAAGGAGGATTGCAAATTCAAACCTAGCTTGGGCAACTCAGAGAATGAGCAAGATCTTATCTCAAAATAAAAAATAAAAGTAAGGGCTGAGGATGCAGCTCATAGTGAAGGCCTGGTTTCAACCCCCAGTACCAGGAAAAAAAGTTTGCTCATCTCAACCTTTCAATGACACAGACTCACACACATTACTTAATACTCCAAACACTGCTTTTTACTTCGCCCCTTAGCATGCTTCTAACACTCTGTACAAGTTACTTTATTTAATTGTCTTTCTCTCCAAAGTTCCAGAAACAGTGTAAACTCCAGGAGGCCACAGATCTTTGTGTTAAAATTCCCTGATGTATTCCAAACAAAAAGCAGGCACATAGCTGTCACTCAGGTATTCCCAGCATGAATAAACAAATGTTCTTTTTGTTAGTAAAAGGAGAAAATAATTAAATTCTTAATACTCCTGGAGTCTACAGATACTATATTTCTACAAGTCCTCATAATGTGGGTTTTTAAAAAATTCCCAAGCTTAAATAATTAAGTGATGACAGCTCATTCAAGCAATTATAGGCAGTAGAGATTGGCACATGTCTTTAAGGGTAAGCAATGGAAATTTCTTTGAGAAAATGTGGGTCTTCTGGCCGCACAGTAACATCAATACTAGGGCTTGTCAGGCAGATGTGGCACATTTTACTAGAATCACTGGAAGTATTTCTGGTTGTAGATAATTTTGCACAATTTCCCAATCATCTTTAAAAAGCTGGTCTCCAATATTTGTTTTCCTCTAAGCAAACAGCAAAATCCAGTTTCTACACTTACCTAAGGCCTTGATAAAAGAACGGAGTGCCCAGCATGTTTCTTGACAGGATTCCTTTCTTTTCCAGCAATCCAATCCTAGAACAGGTGCTTGGTTCATCCTCCCCACGTCTCCAGTCCCTCTGCGACAGCCCAAGACCCCAAGACATAGCTGTCACTAGCCAAGTGATTATTATTAGAAAGGTCACGGGAAGTAAGGGTAAACATCCAGTCTAACAATGAAGCAGCCGGAGCCCAGGAATGTCATCGCTGCCTGGCACCTACCTGCCCGCCACCCTGTCCCCGCCGTGAGCACCCACCTCCGGCCAGGAAGGAACGCAGCC